CATTTAGATTAGGTAACTAGAACAAAATTAACAATGTGCATATTAAATGGTTTAAAAACTGGTTGACAGGTCTGAAAATGTAATGGCAAACATCACCATAAGCATGGGTGTTTTTATAGGGTTTTGTTGTTACTGTTGTAATTCTTCAGTCAGTTATTGCTTTTAGTTATACTCAGGGATCTGGGTTTTCTGTTTAGCATGAAAAAATTCAGTAAAACCCAGATTTTCTCATTTTAAGGAGAAAAACCCGGATTTTCTCATTTTAAGGAGAAAAACTGGATGTTTTCATTTTAAGGAGAAAAATGCAGCAAACGGTGGGTTTCCCTTTGCAGGCTGGAAGAATTCCAGCCTGCAGGAGGCTGTGGGGAGTGGGAGAAGGGTGGTCAGGCAGGGAGTACCATGTACATGTGTGCATGTACACATGCACATGGGTACCAGGCAGCCCAGAGAGCAGCTCCCACAGGTAAGTCTAGGTTGCGGGGGAGATTGAGGGAGGGAGGGAGGGAAGGAGTTAGGCAGGGCTGGGGCTGGAGCTGCTAACCAGGTGGGGTGGTATGTGGGGCTTGGGGCCCGGGGCCAAAATGTGTGGCTACAAGGCCTGGGGGCTGCCCACTGCAGGCTCAGGTTCCCTGCCTTGGTACCCTCCCCCTGGGGCCTCCGTGGCTCAGGCGGCAGAATCTGGCACAGCAGGGCAGAGCGGGGTTGTGCCACCCATAGGTGAGGGAGCTGGGCTTTGAATCTGCCCTGCTGCAGCAGCCACTGCCTCCTACATGCAGCAGCCAGGGCTCAGGCACTGCTGCGGGGGACTGTGGACCTGGGTCCCTGGCCCCATAGCCCTGGCAGCTGGGGTCTCCCTCTGGCAGGGTTTGGGGGGTGGGACCTCCATGTGGGGGGTGAGGAGCACTATGCTCCTCTTACCCTAATGTCTATTTTTATGACATTTAACTGAAATAAACAGATGCAAAGCCTTTTTTATGAATTAACCAGAGATGCCTTGTGTACCGTAAGTAAATATATTACCCTGAATTTCTGACCAGTTTTTATAAGCCCTTATAAGGGCTTATAATGTTTTTGGTCAGCTCAGTTTTGAAGTTTATCCCAGCTTCTCCTTGCAAGCTGCTGCTTGGGGCTGGTGCAGGGGTGGGCAATTATTTTGGGCAGAGGGCCACTTACTGAGCTTTGGCAAGCCATCAAGGGCTGCAAGACAGGCAGCCAGGGGCAGCTAAATATTAATTTTCTAAATTTTTTAGGGGCCCCACGGGCCAGATAGAATGGCCTGGCAGGCCACATCCAGCCCCCAGGCTGCATTTTGCCCACCCCTGGGCTGCGGGGAGCAGGGAGAGGGTGACTGGGGGCAGGGCGTGTACACACGTGGCTGGCATGCAGCCAGGCAGCATGGTGGGAGCAGCCCCAGCAGCTGGATGCAGGTAAGTCTGTGGGGGCAGGGGTTGGAGGGCCAGGGCTTGGGAACTGTCTGAAGGGCTGCGGGGGTGGGGGTGGTGCTCATGTGTGTGTGTGTGTGTGTGTGTGCGCATGTGTGTATGGCACGGGTGTGCAGAGGGGATGGGTGTGTGAGTGGGGTGAATGCCTGCTGGCACTGAGGGTAGCTGTCCAGGCCTTGGGGCTGCAGCAAGGTAAGGGAGGCAGGGGGACATGTGTGCCCCTCCAGTGGGGGAAGGGGGCAGTGGGGAGCTGCGTGGCCGGGTCAGTGACATCAGGGCCAGTGCCCATGCTTGTAGGGGCAGGACAGCCAGGATGACGCTACAGGGCTGGAGGGAGAAGGGGGCTGTGGGTTGGGAGTGAGGGATACTGGCAGGGCTGGGGAGTCTGTAGTTTGGGAGCAAGGGGTACTGGGAGGGGAAGAGACTGTAGGTTGGGAGTGCAGGGCACTGGCTGTGCCAGGAGGCTGTGTGTTGGGAGTGAGTAATGGCACCAGCAGAGACCAGGGGGTTGGGGGGAAGGGCTGCAGGTTGGGAGTGAGGTGCACCAGCATGGCCCAGGGGGACAGGGTGCTGCGACCTGGGAGTGAGAGGCACTGGCAGGGCCAGCAGTCTGTGGGTCAGGAGTGAGTTGCAGCAGCAGGGCTGGGGGGGGGACTGTGGCTTGAAGGTGAGGGGCAACAGAATGGGCAGGGGCAGGGCACCGGCATATCACTGCTCCCCACAATCATATACACCCCTCCCCCACATGACAGGTGTCCTCTTTTTTGGAACTGGAAATATGGCAACCCTAAATTATCTCTTATAAACAGGTTTTAGGATGCATTAGAAAAAAAACAGAATGAAAACCTGTAAGCTTGATTTTGACTTTAAGGTGCATTTCTAGCATTTTTTTCTAAACCTTTGTTCATTTAGGGCTGATCCCAAACACATTCAAGTCCATGGCAGTTTCTTCATTGACTTTAGTGGGCCCAGCAGCAGGCCTTTCTTTTGGGAGTTGGAAAAGAGGGTCACAATTGGTGCATTTAACATGAAATGCAGAAAGCTATTTGAAAAGAAGCTTTTGTTTGCTGCTCCCTTGTGGATGACATCCACTTGCGTGAAGTTGCCATCTGTTGTTTTCTTGGATTGTATCAAAATATGAGAAATTAACTGGAAAGGAGAAAAAAATGAGAGGAAGATGAAAGCAGAAAATGATGTTTGTAACTTGACTGTTGAAACACTCTCTCACACACACAAAATAATTAACACCAAGCATGTGAAATGCTTTACGTTGGGAGGCAAAGCCCCAACTGGGACAATAAAACTAACAGTACCAACTACCACAGAACACATCACACATAAGAGAGCTTCCTGGGTGCCAGAAAGCTAGTGGTGTTATACTGGTTGCTCTCCAAGTCCCCAGTGTATAACATGTGCTGGATATAAAACAGTACAATGGGGGGTAGTGGGCCCTCTGTTGCAAGCCAACTACTTTTGGCTGTCATACTCCCTTGAAACATTGAAGTGAATCATAATTTAGAGTTAAACTATAAACACGTTGTCCTTGGAGTAGGATCAGCACTGGGATGTGTCCCAGCACAGCTCAGCTGCTTCATTGGGCAACATAGACATCTTCTACAGTCCTTCTGGGACAGGCCCTTGCCCCTCCCAGGGCTTTAGGAGCTTGATCCTCTGGAATAACTTCAGATGGGGGTTCAGAATTATGTGCCAGGTTTGGGGCACAGCAGCCCAATACATGCACCTGGGGAATCTCCCAATGGGGGATTCTTGGAGCACACCTCTTTAAGTGGCAAACCCAAGGAGGTGCTCCCAAAAGCAGAGAAAACATTATTTCAGGGGGCTATGTGTATGCGTGCATGCATGTGTGCTCAGTGCCCCCAAATGAGGAGTGGGACGGAGCTGCAAGTGGCTTGTCTGGGAGCCATCTGGCATGGGGAGGGGGTGGTGGCCCCCGCCGCTGTGCACACGCCGGGAGGGCATGGGGGGTGTGTACCTCTGGCTCTGCATGGGGGGAGGCGGGCTGCAGCTGCAGGCTGGGGGCGGGGG